ATTAACACTTGCATAGTATGATGAAAGTCAATTCATACCCAAGATAGCATCGAAATCTTGGAACTCTAGTAGAATAAGATCTACTAGCAAATCATGACTTTCCATAATAATAATACAGTTTATAAATATCTGATTAGATATCAGAGAGTTTCCAACTAGTGTTGCTACCATTAACACATTATTTATTGTCCTTGGATTCTTATGCAATCTCATAACAAAATAAGGTGATATAAAAGAATGCGTAAAACCAGAATCTATAAGCATAGAAGCAGGCATATCACAGAGTGATAATACCTTTAATAATAAATCCCGAAGCTTCAGCATCTTGTTAGGTCAATGCATAAACCCTCGCCTGACCTCCCTCTCTAGATCCTGGCTGTTGTAGTCTAACTGTTTGGGGTGGAGCTCGGCGTTGATGTTGCTTCCATAGGCAGTCCTTCAACATGTACCTTGGTTGTTGATAATAAAAGCATATACACTATCTCATAGGGCATGAGGTGGAAACTTGATTAGTCTTCATAAAGAAATAACATATTATGATGACTTAATTACCGGGAGCTCTTGCCTATTGATGCTTTGAGGGTCCAGAATATGATCCCTCATACGTAGATGATACAATACTAAAAGGTCCTTTTGATCCTTTACTTATTGCACTTCATTATCTAATTTTTCCACCATCAAAGCTCGATTTAGTAAAAAAATTACTCATAGAATGCATCCTTAAACTGTTCTCAAGTCACCTCATTGCCTCCTGCCTCCAACATCCTCCTTTTTGAGGTCTATCAAGTATTTGCCTTGAAGCAAAAGACACCTTTAGATTTTCACTACATTTGATAGCTTCAAATGTCTTCTCCACTTGACGGATCCAACATTCAACGAAGATTGCATTTGGTTTTCCTTCCAAAATAAGTGGTCTCACTCTCTTAATGTGATCTAAAGTATTATTTCCACCCCACGGAGCTCCATCTTGCTCCTCCCTAACGCTCAAAGTAACCTCTAACAGTGATTGCAAAAGGCGCCTCGCTAATGTCCCAGGCGGCGCGCTTCAAACAGGCGCCGCCTGGGCGCTTGCCCGAGCCCAGGCGCTGGGCGCTTCGGGCGAGCGCCTGGGTAACCAAGGCGACCGAACCAGAATTTTAGGTCTGGTTCGGTCCTGGTTCGGTTGTTAGTTGGTTCAATCGAACCAACTAAACTGATATAACCCCAACCCTAACCCTAACCCAACACTAACCTGCTGCCACTGCCGCTCTCGATCCCGATCCCGATCCCGATCCCGATCGCGATCTCGTCGCTCGCTGCCGCTGCTCGCGCCTCCCGCGAGCCTTCCCGCTGCTCGCGCCTCCTGCGAGCCCTCCCGCTGCTCGCGCCTCCCGTGAGCCCTCTCGCTGTTCGCGTCTCCTGCGAGCCCTCCCGCGAGCCTTCCCGCTGCTCGCGCCTCCCTCGAGCCCTCCCGCGAGCCCTCCCGCTGCTCGCGCCTCCCGCGAGCCCTCTCGCCTCCTACGAGCCCTCCCGCGAGCCTTCCCGCTGCTCGCGCCTCCCTCGAGG